GTTTTATTTTGAGAATTCTTCTTGCATCATCAACCGAAGGCGTAGTGATCAACACTGGGAATAGAATTGATGACCTGTGTTCGAAAGTAAACGGCTATCTCTCCGAACTTTCTCGCTTCTTCACTGCAAAGTGTCTAGCCCTCTCCCCTACGAAATCCTCCGCGACCCTGTTCACAACCTGGACGAAGGAGGTCAGGCTACCGCTGGGGATTCACGTCGACGACACACCAGTTCCGACGGTGAATAACCCTAAAATACTCGGAGTAACATTCGACAGCCTGCTCTCCTTCTCTGCGCACTCAACCGCTATTGTCAATAAAGTACAGAGCCGCAACAAGGTCCTCAAGTCGCTAGCCGGCAGTACTTGGGGCAAAGACAAAGAAACGTTGCTGGCAACATACAAGGCAAAAGGCTGGCCGGTTTTGAACTACGCAGCGCCAGTGTGGTCGCCAGGGACTAGTAGGACACAGTGGACGAAGCTACAGACGGTACAAAATACGGCACTTAGGACAGCGACGGGATGCCTCTTGATGTCGCCTGAACACCACCTGCACGGCGAGGCGCAAATGCTCCCAGTTAAGGAGCATAAAATAATGCTCTGCAAGCAGTTCCTGATCGGGAGCCACAGAAGTGGCCACCCAAGCAGACAGCTGCTTGCAGAGGAGCCCTCGCCTAGGCACGTCAGGAGGCATCTATATGAACTGACGGATGAAGTCCAGAGGTTCATTAAGCAACCTCTGGACCCGACAGCGTACAGACAGGCCTTGAGCGGCATTCACAGGGACTCAGTCTCGAGTTATGTAGACTCTAGACCTGTGAATGCCGTTCTAGGCATACCACCCCCGGACATAGACGAGACAGAGCTTCATCTGCCTCGGGAGACACGCACTACACTCGCACAACTTCACTCCGGCTACTGCAGCAGGTTGAACTCATACTTGAGTAGGTTGAATGAGGATGTGCCGAATGAGTGTCCGGCATGCGGAGAGACCCCACATGACTCGAAACATCTCTTCGCATGCCCGGAAAACCCGACAACCCTAACGGCCTTGTCCCTGTGGACAAAGCCCACAGAAGCTGCACGCTTCTAGGGTTGCCGTTAGTGGAACTTGACGACAACGACTGAGATACCAACCGATCTGGGCGGGGTTGTTGTAGCCGCTACAACAACAACAACAACAACGAACTGGCGGACGAAGTCCAGAGGTTTATCAAACAACCTCTGGACCCGTCAACCTACCGAAAGGCCCTGAACGGCATTCACAGGGAATCAGTCTCAAGTTATGTAGACTCCCACCCTGTGAATGCCGTTCTAGGCACACAACCACCGGACGTGGACGTGACAGAACATTGTCTGCCTCGGGAGACCCGCACTAAAATAGCCAAACTTCGCTCTGGCTGTTGCAGCAGGCTCAACTCCTACTTGAGTAGAATCAACGAGGATGTGCACAACCAATGCCCGGCATGTGGAGAATCGCCGCATGACTCCCGGCACCTCTTCACATGCCCTCAGAACCCCACTCAGCTAACGCCCCTGTCCCTATGGACAGCCCCTGTGGAAGTTGCACACTTCCTGGGCCTCCCCCTAGCTGAAATTGACGACAACGTTGATGGATGAACGGCCCCGAACGGGGCTTAGTAGCCGCTACAACAACAGAAACAAATCGAAATAAATATAATCGCAAGTGAACAGTAAAATTAAAAAAAAATTGTTTGATCGTATTTGAAAGGGCTTTTCCTTAATTAAGTACTTATTTGTAATATTTATTTAATTTGAGTTATTCATTATATTTTCAGTTGATGATGAGTACAATGTACCTTCATTGCAGTTGGGTTTAAAAATTTTATTAAGAAAAGGTTGTTAATTTTTTAAGATTTTTTGTTTTGTTTCGAACCGATTTTTTAAGTAAAATATAGTGGATTTAGTGGCCTTTTGTGCACTTTTGTCTCAGGAAAAGAACGTGATGCAGCCAACTGTTGCATTAATATATAAAGCAGATTGCTACGAGACAGTTCTGATCCATTTAGCTTAAATGATAAATGCATGCTCCCTCTTTTTAAGCGCCTCCATTCAACTAGATATTGCGCCGCTTTAATTCTTACAACGCTTTCCCAAAATTCCACCACATCCTCTTTAGCTACTTTTACAAAGCCTCGGGCAATGTCCAGCCTTTCGCTCGTGCATTCCACCAGTTTTTCGTATTGCGAGCGATTTGTTGGGATCTTCGACTTGATAATTTTGTAAACATTTAATAATATTTTTGGGAAATGTTTAGTTATTTGCAGGTCGTTTTTGGGGTGGGGCGGAGGCGGAGGGGACAGCCCCCACTTTACGAAAAGTTGCACCCCCCCTTCGGGGCATCCCACAGACGCCTAGGGAACCGTTTGAAAATGGGCAAAAAACAGCATTTACCGAGGGAAATTGAGCAGTTTGAAGTGGAATATAACCCAAGTAACAGAATCTGTGGGGTTTTTAAATAAAAGAAGTTATCCCAAGGTGGTTATCAGGCGAAAGAAGGGGGGCTTAACACCTTTCGCAGAGAACACCTTTCTGCGTAGG